TCTTCCTCCTCTTCCTCCTCTTCCTCTCCGGGCGCTGGATCCGGACCCGCCCTGGACGTGCCCCGGCAGGTCCGGGCCCGGCGCCGTCACTGCTCCCCCTCCTTTGGGGGCGGCTCGGGGGCATCCCGGGGGAATCTGTTGGGAATGGGGCGGGATCCGTGGGTCTAAGGGACGTTTGTGGGGTCTGGGAACGTTTGGAGGTCGTGTGGGGATGTCTGTGGGGATGGGGTGGATCTGGGGGTCCTGGGGACCTCTGGGGGTCCTGAGCACATCCATGGATCCTGGTGGGATCTGTGAGGCCAAGGGATATCCATGGATCCTGAGAACATCCATGGATCCTGGTGGCATCTGTGGGGCCAAGGGATATCCGTGGGTGCTGAGGATATCCATGGATCCTGGTGGCATCTGTGGGGCCAAGGGATATCCGTGGGTGCTGAGGATATCCATGGATCCTTGTGGCATCTGTGGGGCCCAGGAGTGTTTGCAAGCCCTGAGAATTTCCATGGGTCATGGGGACGTCTCTGGGGACTGGGGACATCCGTGGATCCCATGGATCCCAGGGACAACTGTGGATCCCAGGGCACCTGTGGGGATGTCTGTGGGGATGGGGTGGATCTGTGGATCCTGGGGATATCCATGGATCTTGAGGACATCCATGGATCCTGGTGGCATCTCTGGGTCCCAGGAGCATTTGCAAGCCCTGAGAACTTCCATGGGGACATCTGTATGTACTGGGGACATCCATGGATCCCAGGGCACCTGTGGGTCCTGGGGGACATCTGTCTGTAAGTCCCGGAAGCATCTGGGAGTCCCAGTGATGTCTGTGGGTCCCAGGGTGCCTGTGAGTCCTGGGGACATGCGCGTGTCCTGAGGGATGGATGTCAGTGGATCCCAGGATCCACAGGTCCGAGGGGTGTCCTGGTGGCACCTGCAGGTCCTGGTGGCATCTCCTGACGTTCCTCTCCTCTCTCCTGTCCCACAGTGGTGCTGCTGGACTTTGCCAAGGCACACGGGGAGCTGGGCTGGCTCACCCATCCCTACGGAAAAGGGGTGAGCACCTGGGATCCAGCACCCCAGCCGGGATGGGGATGGGGGATGGGGACATCCTTGGGGCCAGGGAATGGGGACCTCTCCATGAGGGACCTCCATGGGATTGGGAACCTCCATGGGAATCTCCATGGTGATGGGGACAGGGACATCCTCATGGACCCCCATGGGAATAGAGACATCCATGGAGACCTCCCTAGTGATGGAAACAAGGACCTCCATTGGGATGGGGAAATCCATGGGAATGCTGATGGGGGAACCCACAGGAATGGGGAGGGGGACACCCCCAGGGACAGAGGCATCATAGGGAGGGACCCCCATGGGAACATCCCATGGGCAGGGGGACAGGTCTACACATGGGGACTGAGATGGGGACATCCACGGGGTTGGAGAGCTCCACTGGGGTGTGACTGGGGACCTCCATGGAGCCAGGAACACCCGTGGGGATGGAGATGTCCATGGAGTTGTGGATCTCTGTTGGGATGGGACTGGGGACATTCACAGGGCCAGGGGTGTCCGTGGGGACAGAGATGGGGATGTCCATGGGGCTGTGGATCTCCACTGGGATGTGACTGGAGATCTCCACAGGGCTGGGGGCATCCATGGGTGTAGAGCCAGGGACACCCACAGGGATGAGGCCGAGTGCCTCCGTAGGGACCGTTGTGCCTCAGTTCCCCCTCCAAGTGCCGTTTGTGTCTCCGTGGGGACAGTGGGACCAGCTGCAGAACGTCCTCAACGACTCCCTGATCTACATCTACTCCGTGTGCAACGTCCTGGAGGGGGAGCAGGAGAACTGGCTCCGCACCAACTGGATCTACCGGGGGGTGGCCGAGCGCATCTTCATCGAGCTCCAGTTCACCGTCCGCGACTGCAACAGCTTCCCCACGGCCGGGGGCGGCTCCTGCAAGGAGACCTTCAACCTCTACTACGCCGAGTCCGACGTGGATTACGGCACCAACTTCCAGAAGAGGCAGTTCCGGAAGATCGACACCATCGCTCCGGACGAGATCACCGTCCAGGAGGATTTCGCCGCCCGCAACGTCAAACTCAACGTGGAGGTTCGCTCGGTGGGGCCGCTGCGGAGGAAGGGCTTCTACCTGGCCTTCCAGGACCTGGGCGCCTGCGTGGCCCTGCTCTCCGTCAGGGTCTACTACAAGCGCTGCCCGGCGGTGATCCGGGGGCTGGCGG